ACAAGGATTATTTAAAAGAACAAGTGAGAAACAAATATAATATTAAATAAAATGAACCTTATGTAAATTCCAGGCTGAATAAGAACTCAGTTAGATTTGATATAAACTTGACAATAAAGAAGAGTCAGGTAAAACAAAAAATGAAAAAACTTTTCTTGTTGTCAGCCCTGGTCTGGTGCTTAGCCTTGGAAGGCCTGTGTTCCAGCACACTGGTTTTTGGTTAGCTCCCTTTCTTCTGCAGAATCAGTCCCACCATGCTTCTCATTTGCTTTCGAAGCTACTCATTTATAAAGCAGATAATTTTCGTACTTGGGCATGTTTACATGAGATGTTTATTGCACAGTTAACTAATTAACTGCTCAATAGGCCTGTGTGAAGCTGCTAGTATTCGCTTCAGATTCAGCTGATTCGGGGTACAGTGATTCAATTCAGTAATTTGAATCACTGTCCCGAATTCATTTAGCTGAATCTGATTCAGAGAATCAGCCACCACCAAATCAGCTAAATCTCTGAATCAAAGAGGTCCCATCTCCCAGTCCCATCAATGTCTGCCCTGGCCCCAGCATCCTGGCTCCTAAAAAAAACAACCCCCTCACTCACTGGCTCCTGCCAGATGGTGGGGGGGGGGAAAGCAGGGCAATCCCCACTGCCCCTCACTGCCCTGCACTGTGTAGGGGGCTCTGCCATGAGCCTCCATCCCCTGCCCACTCACCCAGCCCCAGGGTCCTGGCAATTAAAAAATACAAGCCCCACATTCACCGGCTGCTGCCAGGCAGGAGGGCGATCCCTGCTGCCCCACACTGCCCCATGCTGTGTGGGGGGCTCTGCCATGAGCCCCCAGAAGCCCCGATGGATGCTGCAGCAGCTGGTGAGTGTGGGGCCTTTTTTTTTTTTTTTTAAGTGCCGGAATGTTGGGGCTGGGTAGGACAGCTATCAACAGGGCTGGGAGAGTGGGGATGGGGGCTTGTGGCAGAACTCTGCATGCAGCACGGGGAAGTGCGGGGCAGTGGGAATCACCACCCCACCTGGCAGGAGCTGGTGAATGTGGGTTTTTTTTGTTTTTTTTTAAAAGAACCACGGCACTGGGACTGGGCAGGGCAGCCATTGACTGGGCTGGGAGAGTGGGCAGGGGATGGGGGCTCATGGCAGAGCAGGGCAGGGGGGGTGGGGGGCAGCGGGGATTGCCCCCCTTCCTGGCAGGAGCCGGTGAGTGTGGGGTTTTGTTTTGTTTTTTTAAAAAGCCAGGATACTGGGGCTGGGTGGGGCAGCCATTGAGAGGGCTGGGAGAGCAGGCGGGGGTCAGGACCACTCAGGGGGGCTGGGGGAGCAGGCAGGGGATGGGGCCTGACAGGGGTCCCACCATGATCCCCTTCCCCCTCCTCCAGTCTCCCTGACCCACCCCCTACTTACTGGCATGGAATCCAGGTCCAGCTCCCTGCGGCAGCGAGTAGGGATTGTCTGAATCTCTCCAAAGCTCTCCAAATCTTTTCCAAATTGATTCAGGGAGCTTCCAATTGATCTGACTTTTTTATTGGACACATGGCCACCAAATTGGGTGAAATCTCCTCTGAATCAAATCAGCACTTGAAGCTTAGCACAGCTCTACTGCTCCATAAGGCTAGGGACAGACATTCAAAAAGCCAGATCCTGACTTTATTTAGTCTTTGCAGGTTAGTCTAACCTGCCTAGTTTGAACTGATTTGTAACTGCACAGACACTCCCTCTGGACTGAGGAAGTGCAAGCACATGTCTGCAGTTACTCAGGCCAGGAGCTGGGGGCACTAGAGTATGCCCTCAGCTGCAGGGAAGCTGGGTTGGGAAGGAGTGTGGCCAGTTCAGCAGTACCTTGCAGTGAGCTGTCCAGAGAGGGGTTTAATGCCCCCCCCCACCTCCCTGTTCTACTGGTAGGGACCTGAGCTGGGTCCACCAGGCACTCCGCCCTTGCTGCTGCAGTGGCAGGGCTGGGCACAGCAGGAGGTGGGCCAGCATGACCCCCTGAGGCAGGGGGGTCATGGAGGGTAGTTATTCCCCCGTCTTCCCCCACTGCCCCAGGGGACTGCAGCCAGGTCTGCCCTCCCCAATCAGTGCCACTGCCACTCGCTTTCTGCTTGGGGCAAGTGGTGGAATAAGCCCCCTCCTGCCCCTTCCACTGGATGCCATATGGAGCAGCGAATAACCCTGCTCCCTGCCTATGGGGCCCTTCCAGCCAGCATCTGGCCATGCCCCCACCCAGCTTCTGTAGCGATGAGGGGGCATGGCTCTTGATGGGGGCATTAGCCCCTGTCATCATGTGCACTCTGGGAAACTGTGACAGGGACCGCTGCCCCTGTCATGGTCACTCCCCCCCACCCCTGCCACTCCAGTGACTGGGTGGGGGTGGGGCTAGATGCTGGCCAGCAGGGTCTCTTAGGTGGTGGGCAGGGAGTGGGATTATTCCCCCTCTGCTCCTTGGAGACCACAGTGGGGTTGACCACCCCAACCACTGCTGGCTAGTGTCTGGCCCCACCTGGCCGCTGGACCGGTGAGGGGGGAGTGACTGTCATGGGGGCTGTAGCCCCCATCACAGTTCCTGTCATGATTTTCTAGAGCGTGAGCCTCTTCCCAGCTGCGGCAGGTGGGGTGCGCACACTGCGGGGCAGGGAAAGCTGCTGCAGATTGCAGTGGTGGTGGTGCTAGGGGCTCTGGTCCCCTCCAAGCCCCAGTGCTGTTGTGCACAGTCTGCCACAGCTCAAGCCACCCTGCAGCACAGCCTCCCACCAGGAAGGGGCCTGAATTGATTCAACCTTTGCAGGTTAGTCTAAGCTGGCTAGGCCAAACCAATTTCCAACCCTACAGACAATCCCTCTGGACTGGGGAAATTTGAGGCACATGCCTGCAGTGGCTCAGGCTAGAAGCCAGGGGGCACTAGAGCAGCCCTTCCTTCCCTTGAACAGAGTTGAGGTGAGGGGAGATGTGTCCAGGCCCAGGCAGGGCTATCTCATTAGGGCCTGCACTATTCTAGGCTTTTCCCTACTGGCTGCTCAAGGGGTGGGAGGGTTGTCAGCTCCCCGCCCCAGGCTAGCACTCTGAGGCAAGGATGGGTGTGTGGTGCATGCATCTGTTGGTGATATGGAACTTATCAGTCTCCCTCCCTACTTCTGTATACTGTCTACAGCAAACTGACAGGCAAGCAAGCTGGGGGGAGGGGGGCAGGGGAGACTGATAACTGTGTTTATCACCCCTATCTCAGTGTTTATTGCCCCATTAAGAAAACAGAGACATTACCAGCTACCTGTTCATTCAACATAGACACAGCATGTGGTCTGCTAGCTAATACACAGACACCTCAGCAAGGCAGAGGGGAGGGGGAAATTTGGGCAGGGTGTCAGTTTTATCTTACATCAGCAAGGAGTCTGGGACAGACATTGCATAAACCAGTTTGAGCCAAATCAGTTAAGTCTGATACTACATTCAACCAGGTTTATCTCAAATCAGTTTCAGCCATTTTCAAACTGGTTTATGTGCACTGAACATCTGTTCTGTTACAGGTTTAAACCAGTTTCTGATCACTTAAACTGGTTTATGTGCAATGTCTGTCCCTAGTAAAGAGATGTGAGCACAGGGCTCACGTGCTTACTGTAGCCTGAGCTATGGAAAAGTTAGCTGCTGTTCTCAGTATTGTCACATTGAGCTTCAGATATTGAAACTTAAAACTGATACAGCCTAAAGGTATTAAATACATGGGTTACTATGTCCAGATCCTCATCTAGGAAAAAGGGACAATGATTCCTTGTAAGATGGAGGTGAAATTTATTGTTTTTGGAAACTGAATCTATCAGGTCATTCAGGTCCCTGAAGCTTTGCACCACTTTGATGAATGGTATGCCTTTAATGACAAGAGACAAAAGACTCTGCAGCTCTTCAGTACGTTTCCACTTTTCAATCAGCTCTTTGGTATTTTTTACCCTGCCAAACAGCTTCACTTTAGTCTTTCCTGAGTTTAGCTCAAGTCATCTGGTCTTTGTTTCCTGGCTTGTTTCTGGGACATCCTGGAGGTATGGTGGTTTTATCAATTAAATGAGATGACTGTTGGCAGCTAGGCCCCTTATATCTCACTGTCTGTCCCAGATGAATATGGCAGAGAAATGGGGATAGTTTGGATCGCTGAAGGACCCTGCAGGTTGTAGCCAACAGAAAGAAGGAATAGTTACTCACTGCCTCCCTGAGTTCTGCTGGAGAGGAGTGAAAGGAACACTGACTGTGGGGGCTAGTGTTTTCTGCTGTCATGTAGGCATATTAGTAGTGCATCACAATATACTATAATTATAACTACATTACCCTGCCTTAGTGTTAAACCGGAATAAATTTGTTTGCATTTCTATTCTTTACTGCACTAAAGGACGGCAGTTTCATTAGCATGCAAACTGAGATTGCACGTGACTTCTTGACAAACTGTATTCAGTCCATCAGTATGTTATTGTTTTGGATGATGATAGTATTTTGGATTTATGAGAAAGCATTTACTTTAAAAGTATTCTGCAGACATTTTGAAGAAACTTATGTCTCTTGCACCAACACTCCTACAGTTTTAGGTTATCATGACATTTCCCACAACCCCCTAGTATATACTGTCTGACATCCCTATATGACATTTTAAAGGGATATTAGGATACACATTAGATTGAAGGAAAAAAAAATTCCAATCCTCCTTGTTGAAGAAGCTAGGAAGCATGCACTCCAGCTGCAAGGTGATCAATTTAATTAGCAAATCATTTCAACAGAAGCCAGAAGCAAATTGTTTGACTGACAAGTGTTTTGAAGTAATGTATCAATAAAAGTTCTATAAACACTTTTTAGGCCTCTGGTCAAAATACAAAAAACAAAAAGTTAAGTGGCAAATTTACCAACCTGTCCAGTATAGCAATAAGGCTTGCAGTTCTATTTTGAAAATATGATGTATATTAATTTACATGTTTTGGGGAATTTTCTTTAATCGTTTTTTCATTTTCTTTTGTTCACAGGCTTACCTGGCACTGCTGCTGATTTAGACAAAAGAAAGCTTATTTTTGGGAAAAACTTTATACCTCCAAAGAAGCCAAAAACTTTCTTGCAGCTAGTCTGGGAAGCGCTACAGGATGTGACACTTATAATTTTGGAAATTGCAGCCATCATATCTTTGGGTCTCTCATTTTATCAGCCACCTGGAGAAGGGAATGAAGGTAAAAAAAACATATTACAGTATCAACCTTGTAAGTTTCAGCTGGAGTGTTACTGTCATTGGTTAAATATTTTCCCTTTTTTGTTTGTTTTAGTTCCTGTGACTATTTCCTAACCTGATCCTTATTCTGTGTATACCTGAACTTACTTTTTTTTTTTTTTAAAACATAATTTGTTGCTGTAAGGTTGTACTCCAAAACATGTACTGACAAGTTTAAAGAAAAATACTTCACAACTTAAAAAAAATTTTTTTTTTTATAACGGTTAGTTTCTGGATTTCCTCATCTTGGATGATCATTTTTAAGAACACAGAGGAAAGTCTACTATCAGTTTACTTACCTGGTATGTCTTACTGTCCACCATATGTTTTTAGCCATTGAAAGTTACCCTAGCTGAAGACCTGTGTCATAATCATTAACTCATGGATCATCTTTAATGCTAATATTTTGAATCTTATGACTAATGAGCCTAGTTCAAAAGGAAAGACATAGTAGGTTGTGATGCCCTAGCTTAATTTACAAATCATTTACTGCAGTATTCTTCTCTGATGCTTGTAGAACATTTTAAATGGTGTTTGTGTCTCTGGAGACTTCTCTAGCTTAATTCACATGCTTAAAATACTAGGTCTGCTAAGCATTTGCAAGATTACCATTTCTGGCAAATGATCCAGGTTTTTTTTAAGTTCATTTTTAGACCTATAAAGCTGGATGAAACATGCTGTGTGAAATGATGTGAACAACTTGGCAAATGCATGAAGAATGCCTTCATATAAAACAAGCCTAGAAAAGCTTTTTACTTGTTTCACTGTCCCTTGAATACATTCCTAGAAGGCCCTTCCTATTTTTTTTTCCGTTCACAAAGCATGTTCACAGCATGTGTAGACAAAACTATGCACAGTACATGTAGCATACATTTTCATAATTCATTGGGGTAATCCTTTGCCGATAGGATTCTTCAGCTATACTCAGGAATCTTTGCTGTGCACTATTAATCTGGTTTCACTGACATTATTAGCAGGCTTGCTACTAAATTGAGCACAAGTTTAAATGAAAGTGTGTGCGTCTACATGTTCATGAATGTATCTTAGATACTGCGCATTTAGTTTAGTACTTCTTTAATAAAATTCTAACTAAATGTGCAATACCTAAAGCTACTTGGCAGTAGTGCTGGTGGATGGTTATTTAGTGATGCTTACCGTGTATTAGCTTAATAACTAGGGGTGCCACCAATAAAGATTTTTTTTTGGCCGATACCAATGGTCAATGATTAACCAGCCATATTGGCTGATACTAATCCAATTGCTGATTGTGATAGGAGGCCTCCTCGGGGAGGATCTCCATGGCCCGCCCACCTGTCTCTGGGCAACTGCCCGCCTATCTCGCCCGCCATGCTATTGATGTTAATTGATTCAATTAAGATGTCAATTAAGTGGGAGGCTATCCATTTAGTGCCCCGATGCCAGGGGGCACTCTCTGCGGCTCCTACCTCCCCAATACCGCAGCCCAAGCCTCGCAGATGGCATCATGGTGTTCACCTAATCACCGGCCCCACACTGGGCCCCAGAATCATCCATACAGGACCCCCCTATGATCCTTCCGATCAGGCGGCCTCTCCGCCGTCATCCAGGCTACCTAACCCCTCCCCGAAGCTATTTTCCCCTCTCGGGTGTGGTCCCCCCGGGACCTTCGGCCTCTTGCCCTGGCCCACCTCCAGGCCAGTCAGGACCCCAGGCCCCTGGCTCTTGGGCGTCCCTCGTGGTGGGCCCCTGGCCCTTTTGATCCTCTTGGTCCTGGCCCCAGCTTGGGCCAGTCGAGGGTACTCTCTTCTTCTGGCGCCCTTTCGAGGGTACTCTCTTCTTCGGGCTGGGTCTCTAGCCCCTCACTCTCCATCCTCAGGCTCACCACGCCACTACCCGCTTTCTCCCGGGGGCCACTGCAGCACCACGCCCGGTACTCATTCACTTTCTCGGGGTCCGCCCTCTGGGCCCCTCCAAACATAGGGTTACCCACCCAGTGGTGGGAGCTAGGGGTTAAGGCACCCCGACCCACCTTTCACTGGGGTGATAACTGGCCTGGCATTTCCTGGGGGCTCCTGTGCCACTGAGAGCCCCACCAAGCCACCCACTCCCGGCAGGGTGCAGTTTCAGGTCATGCCCAGGACCAGGAGCCTCCTTACCAACCCCTTGCAACTCCCCCTTACCTCCAGGATGTTCTCAGCAGCCCTCTGGCCAGGCGATGTTGCTGCCTGGCCTCCAGCAGCCAAACTGCCTTGTTTATATAGGCAGCCCTTGTCTCAAAATGGCTGCCCTTGTCAGGCACCTGGAGACTGCCAGCTCCAGGCCCTTAAACTGGCAGGCACACCCAGTGCACTGCCACACTGATATGCAGCCTGTCAGCATGAACTGGTGTCTGGCTGGTAAGCTGGGGGGAAGGGGCTTGAGGGATGGAAGGAGAATGGGCAGGTGGAAGATTGAGGCCCCCACAGTGAGGGAGGGAATGGGGCTGATGCAGGGCCAGGGCCAAGCATTACCCAGCTGGGGCAGGGTGGGGCACAGAACAGAGCCATGGGTAACTTGTCCAGTGGCCACAGCGGGTGGTGAGGATAAGGGAAGCTCTGGGCTGCTACATGTACTCCAGGGGAGACATGGGGGGCATGTGCCTCCTGGATTTCTGCGTGGGGCAAGGGCGGGCTGCCCACTGCAGGGGCTGTGCTGGCCTCTTCCTGGTGATGGGCCTAGGCCAGGGCTGCATTTGGGGTGGTTGGGGTGGGCAGCAGCAGCACTAGGAGGGGGGGCTATGGGGTGGCTACAATGAATTATGGGGTGGTTGTAGCCCACCCGGTAGCCCCCACTCTCTGCGCCACCACCTGCCCTGCCCCTGCCCACCCCAAGTGCAGCCCCGGCCACCCCCCTTCCCCCACACACACACAGTGGGAAGAGGCCAGCACAGTCCCTGGCCCTGAGCCCGCACAAGGCAGCCTGTTCTCACCCCACGCACGAATCTGGAGGGCATACGCCCCCTATGCCTCCCTCAGGGTTCATGCAGTGGTCTGGAGCTGCTCCCATTCTCTCCACTTCCCTGTTTCCCACAGGTGAGCCACCCACAGCTCTGTCCCATGTCCCACCCCCACTGGCAGCACCGGCCTCTGCCCCACCTCTGGCCTCATTCCCTCCCTGACCATGGAGGCCTCAATCAGCACCCCACCACACTTCTTACCTCCCCCACGCCTCTTCCCCCACACAGACTTACTAGGTGAACACTGGTCTCCAAGCTACTGGGCTGCATTCCTGGCCGCATGCATGCATGTGGCTGTATGCATGCACGTGACATTTATTGGTGACATTATCATCTATACCAATCAAACAAAGCCAATTGCTGGTAATGCCATTTTTCATTTCATCAGTACTGATCCAGTATAGACAGATATATTGGTGCACCTCTACTAATAACACTGTGTAGTAGGCTATTGGGGTGGTTTTTGCCATGATACACTACTGAGTATTGTTATCAGACCAATGTGCTGTAACCATCATGTGTAGACACATACAGAGCGTCATTTCTTTCCTCACTGAAAAATCTTTGTAGATGTTTTTGTAGTCTCACACATTTTGGAACATGTTCTGGCATTGCCTTTTTGAAGGATGGATAACAAACTAGGATTCAATTCTGCAACTCTCTTACTCAGAGAGTCATTTTTTTCTTGGGTAAAGATTTGTAGGGCTGTTCTCTTTTTATTATAATTTGTTGGGGTGGGGGGAAGGTCTTTGAACATATACTTACGTTACTGATTTTTTTGGTTGTGTGCAACTAGGTTATAAATTTTACCTCAATACTGCATTGAAAATAGTCATTTTCCCATGGGAATCTATCACACATGTGAGCTGGCATAGTATGAAAAAGTCAGCAACGCAGCCTGGGAAAATGTGCTCATGCTTTATCATAACACAACTTTTCATTTAAATATCCTTTAAACCTTCTTCCTCCCCCAAGGTTTTTAGAAACATTTTAAAAAGAAAATTATATTCATGTTCTGCAGTGGGAAAATGTATCCTGTTAGAAATGCCTTTTACCATGTCCTTCAGGATCCACTCTATGGCTCCTTTTTTTCCTTTGACACTTAAAAATGTGGGATACTTTTGTACGGGACAAATAATTGTAGTGGGTTACCACCAACTGAAGACCTCAGGCTCCTGTAAATATGCCAAAATTGTTTAGAATACAGGTGTCAAATGTGCCCCAGATCTGGCCCATGCAGCCACATGGCCAACTCCGGAGTTGGTCTCTGGACCAACTCCTTGCGCTTGCATATGGCATACTGGCTCTGGCCTTGTGCACTGAATGTAGTGTGTGGGCTGGACCTGGTGCTGTGCACCCAGCTCGTGCCCCGTGCTAGCCCCCTGCATTATACTTGGCTGGTCTATCCCACATACCATGTGCAGCATGCACCAGCCCTGGGGCTCACTGTACATGCAGCTGGGCTGTACATGAGCTGGATCTGGCACTGCACACAGCACAGAGGTCCAGGGTACAGCCTGCATGAGGCACCCTGCCAGACTGACCCTGTGTGCAGCATGTTGGGCAGCAGATAGGGAAAAACCTTGGGTTGCCTGGTTGCCTGCCCTGCTTTCTGTGCTTCACAGCTACTCCTCTTGTCTTGAAGCTTGCATGATAAGAGGTGTGCTTTTCCAGGTACCCATCTGCCTTGTCTCATGGGCTTTCTGACCAATCTGTGGCCAACTGTGAAGCTAGTCTGGCACCCTGAAAAGTGTGACTGGATCTGTTTGTAAAAAATGGCACATTTCTGATTTATTTTGGTGTGGGTGAACCAGCCTTAGTGGAAATAGTTCCCTGAGTGAACTTGCCCCTCCCCACACAGCATCTCCCTCTGGTGCCCCCCACCCCCGCCCCACTCCTGCACATAAGCAGTGCTGCTGCATGCAGAAGCAGGTGGGCAGGGGCACAGGACTGGGCAGGACTGGAGCAGGTACCACCCTGCACACACT